GGGGTTGCTGTGAAAGGGGGCGGGGGGGAGGGCGCTCGGTTCCCTTTCCCACCGGCACCAGCTCTTCTGCCTCTGCTGTAGCCGCGGGTTGGCGGGGAAGCACGTGGGGGGCACGCGAGTAGCCCTTTTGGTTTATTTTTCTCTTCTGGCAGGCGGAAGCTGGCAGAGCGTACGGAGGCGAGCGTGCAGGTGTCCGAGTTCAATGTCAGCTGCAAAGGTGAGGTCCCCGGCAGGCTGGGCAGAGCTCCTGCCATCCGACTGAGGCGGCGCTGCCCGCCCACAGCTAACGGCTTGGGATTTGCTGTGTCTGCCCCGGGCCTTTGGGCTGGGTGCTGCTGCAGCCCCTCGGCTTGGCTGTGGCGCGCCTGCGGGACCTTGTGTAGGTGCTGGGGAGAAGCTGGTCCTGTCCGAGCTCCTGCGGCCCATCCGTCCCAAATCCACCCTCAGCAGCGTGAAGAAAGAGCTGACCAGAGTGAAGCAGAAAAAGGCAGTGGAGCTGCCGCTCAGCAAAGAGGAGGCAAAGCGGGTGAGTGGGCCTGTGCGGGCAGCAGAGGGAAGTCCTGGCCTTACGGGGCAGTAGAGTTGAGCCCCTGTGTGCCCCTCTGCTCCGCCCTGATGCGGACCAGCTTTTCTTGTTCTTTACGTCAGCGTTTCTCTACTCATCCCTTTCCCTTCTCGCCCCTGCCTGCAGGTCGTGAGGGAAGCTGCCTACGTCAGGACCTCTAAAGACGTGGGCAAATGGCAGCAGGTGGTTTTGCAGAACCGACGGGCAGAGCAGCTGGTTTTCCCTCTGAAGCAGGAGATTGCTACGGTTGTCCCCCTGGAGCAAGTGGCTTCAGCGTGGAAGGTGGGTGCTGCCACGTGTCAGGCAGCTCCCGGGGTCGGCTGGGGCAGCTCGACGTCTCCTGGCTGCGCTGGGAGGAGTGAGGTGGGCGTGAGGAAGGCCCAGCCCGTAGCCGAGGCTCTGGGCAGGTGCATGCTGAGCTTGGGGAGATTAAAAGGGAAGCCTTCTGCGTTCCTCACGCGTAGCAGATGTGTAAATGCTCTCTGGGTAAGGTGCGAGCAGAGGGTTTGGAGCCTGCTCTGTCCCCTCTCCTCTCTTTAGCCTTTCAGCCCTAGACACGCAGGCTGAGTCTGCCGTTTCCCAGTCCCTGGGCTGGGCCAGGTGCCTGCTGGTAGCCCTCGGCCACTTGTGCTGGGGGGGGGGGGGGGT